TCATCACACAGGGAGGGCAGGAAGTGCAGAGTATGCAGATGCACATGCATGAACACACACACTTCGCTCCTACATACTCTTTGTCTTCTTTAATTTGGTCTCTCCCATGAAGACAAGAAAGCATGAGTGCCTCATCGGACAGGGTCTGCCCTTCTGCAAAAAGCAGAGGTGTGCAAATTTGTGTTCTCAGACTGCAACTCCCAGAATTCTGCCTCAGGAATTCTTTAAGAATTCTGAAATTTGCATTCCATTTCTGGGAGCTGCAAGTATAGAAAAAGAAAAGAATCTGAACACACTTAGTGATGAACAATCATATCTTAGAAAAGTTCCAAAATTTCACCAATATCAGAAAACCCTGCTAGAACTGCTTTTTCAGACACAGGGCAACACAGCTGCATGCATTTTTAAAAAATTCTCTTAAGGAAATAAAAAGACTATCATTGTGAATGCCTACACTTAAGATTTACCACAACATCAATGTTTCTTTCCCAGCATCTTCAACTCAATAAAAATCATTAAATACATTTAATAGGCAGACTTGTTAAAAGAAAAAAAAAAACCAAATATTGTCATCATCTTAAAACTACAAAGCTGGAAGTGATCCTATGGATCATTGAGTCCCGCCCCTGTCAAGGAGACACAGTGGGGAACTGAATTCCCAGCCTCTAATTAAAGTATAACATTAAAGAAAATACATACTAATAGACAGGAAGTAAAAATGATTGAACTATCCAACCACCAAAAACCTTCTCCTTGTAAAAGCTCCACAAAACGGTTCAAACCTATGTCCTGCCAAAGTATATTCCTTCAAAACCTTAACAGCCCAAATGGAGGAACATACATTAAAGAACCTATGTCTCCACATACTATAAAGGAATACAACATCTGTGCACTTGTCCCTCATCTACAATCTTCCCATCGTTCAGTTCTTTGTGAATTTCGTGGAGATGGTTATAGACCACATATGGTTCATATAAGCCCTTCTATAAGGTCTCCAAATTTGTTATTTACTTTGCAGCAGTATCTAGTTTTTAAGACTCTTTGACCAGAGTGGATTTCATTTAAACTACTGCAGGGTAGTGTAAAATCATTTTTAAAATTAAAAATCAGATTTTTAAATTTTAAATTGGATTTTTGCTTTAAATTGGATTTTTAAAAAAATCATTGTTTTTTATCCACCCTGCAGTCATTTAAATCATAATTTAAAATTTTCAATTTGGTGTGATGTGACCTAAATCACCACAGGATGGATAAAAAAAAATCTGATTTAAATTTAAATATCTGGTTTTTATTATTTTAATCACTTATTTTTATCCATCCTGTGGTGATTTAAATCATCATCAAATCCATCCTGCTCTTCACAACAAATAATTTTTTGCAACAAACCATGTGCTTGTAGACCAGATGGTAGTGAGTGTCCCTTGCGAGTTTTACTGTATTATTACTCTTTCTCTTAGTATCCGTTTATTCATTCTGACCCTCAGATTACCAGAACCCAAACTTTCCTACATATAATCTCCCACACCCATGTTGTAGTTTAATTGTTCTCTCTCTCTCTCTCTCTCTCTCTCTCTCTCTCTCTCTCTCTCTCTCTCTCTCTCTCTCTCTCTCTCTCTCTCTCTCTCTCTCTCTCTCTCTCTCTCTCTCTCTCTCTCTCTCTCTCTCTGTGTGTGTGTGTGTGTGTGAGAGAGAGAGAGATTGTTTCACAGGATTGGTACACTGAGCATTCTTCTCTTCTGTAATGTGTATGTGGTAAAATAAAGCTTGTACAGTACTACTTATTTTTAATAGTCATTCTTAAGCCATTTCTTCCAAGCTGAGAAAGTTCTTTCCTCACATTGTTGGAAGTTCAGTGCATGGTCTAGTGTGTGCCCTTCTCTGGGAAAAAAATCCCTTAATTTCCACATCCATTATGACACATTTTCGTTTATGCTCAAGATTCAACAAGGTGCACAGTTACAGGCAGACCACTGATTAACAGCACCTTGCCCTATGTAGCCTGATTATATGTAGAGATGGAGGTATTTGTATTCATATATGAATATCCCAGTGCAGCTGGACTTAACAAGGGGCCGGCCCCTGTGGCCGGCCTGTCCACTCACATGTCCAGTGGCAGCAGCAGCCTTGCTCATCAGCTATGCATGAAGACTCATCCTCCCTCCCACTGCCAGGAGTGGCCAAGCAAGCAGGAAGAGAGCGGAGCTCCGGGAGCAATTGGAAGGATGACTGAGGCTGCCGCTGCCAGTCCATCATTAAGTCCATCTGTACAAATACCCCCATCTCTAATTATATGTCAGCTCACATCTCCCCTATTGCTGATTGCATACAACTACACCTCAGTCTGATATTACAGAGAGAACATCAACCTGTGTACTGCAGAATAGGCATGGGATCTGCACAAGAGTCCTCATTTTTGCATGGGGAAAAATTATACACTACTCTGGAGAATGTTAGTTTTAGTTTAAGGCAGCAACACTTTCTATATTGAAGCAGATCCACCAAGGCACATCACACTACTGTGGACTGTACAGATTGTTAGGGATATATATTCAGACAGCAATTCCATGCCTCAGAGATTAAATCAGAGAGGTGGGCAAATCAGTAGCTCTTATATGGCAAGAAATGCTAATACATGGGCTTAAAACAACATCTGCATGTCAGAATACACTTCAATTTAATCCCCAACAAATTACCTAGCATGAAAAACAAATATTTTCTCATGACACTCAAGAGAATATTCTGACTTTTGTGCTGTCACCTTTATTGGCTAGTGCTAGACAGGTACTTCTATGTAATTAAATAAATTATGTGGAAGTTCAAAATTTACTCATTTTTATTATTGCATATTACAGGTTTTTTCTAGTACTGTAATCAGCTTTCACGACGGATACAGTATGTTTATTTTCAAACATGCTATCAGTCAATTCCAACTTATGCCAACCTTTGCCATGGTTTTTTAGGTATAAGGTGCTGAGAAGTGGTCTAATCTTTCTTCTGGTGGTGCTCTGGAGTCATGTAAATTGTCCCAAGATTATACAGGCTGGTTCTTCTTCTTCAAGAAACAAAGAATCAAATTGCCAAACCTTGACTCTGCTGTAAAATACTCCAGCTCACTAAACTATGGATATGGTAGAAATCAGAAGTTCACAAAAGGAGCTGCCAATGGCAAATGTAACTCTTGTACTGTATTAGGGACTATTTGTGCCCCTGGAGGCCTAGCACAGATTGAGAGATTATCCTCCCCAACATTCTCCACAATCTGCACACTACTACAGAACATTTCCAATGCACAAAATGCTACAGGAGAAATAAGAGATCGTGTTGCACTCCAGAACGCATTCAACTACCAACTTCCATCATGCCAGCCAACAAGACTAATGGTCAAGAATGATGGTAACTGTAGTTCCAACATCTGGAGAACCATAAGCATCCCAACCCTGCACTACAGAAAACTGATGTATGCGGAAAGAGCAGTTTTCTTTTATATATAAGAATACAACCGATATATAAAAATCAGATTCCAGCTCAACCTGAGAAGTAAAAATCCCTTTGTACCGAAAATACCACAAACATCCAGTACTGACACCCATAGTAGCCTGTAAAAGGATCCAATAACACAATGGCACATCTCAATCTATCATGTGGAGATCAATCCTTTAAGCAGCTGTAGAGCAGAGCAGACATATGGATTATGGCCAACTACAGTAAAAGTAGTTACATTTTTAGGCTAACTACAAAGCAGGATTCCTAACTGAAGAGCAACAGAGCAAATAAGTTTCATTTATTGCAAATTATTCTTGAAGAGCCACTTTCAGTATGTCACTTCCTGCTGAAGATCTGCTCTCTCCCTTAATGTTGTGCTGGACATACTACAGGATGATATTCCATCTTCTCCAGGCTTAGCCTTATCAGAGGCATCTTTAAAATGCGATGACAAAATTAAAAAAAAAAACTGCAGACTGAATGAGGACTCTTAAATTGGGGGATATTCCTACCCTGTAACAAGTGGATCTGTGATGGGCAAATAATAATGAATGTGGGATACTGGTGAGGGTACACTTTCCCCCCTATGTACAGTACAGTACTAACAAACTGGGCTGATGCGAGGGAAAGAAGAATGCTGCAATAAACGAAACAGTATGCCAGAACAACCAACTGTGCTGTGCACATGTGCCTCCCTCAACTCTTGAAAAGAGATCTTTCCACAGGAACGCAGAACTGCAGTAGTACTCTACACACCTTTACTCAGGCTCCCATCCCCTACCTACAAGTAAGCCACGGCGAACTTAGCAGGACTTACTTTTGAGTAGACAGGAATAAGATTGAGCGATACCTGAGGTAAGCCCCACCAGTACTGTAGTCAAATCCTTGGCCTGCCTAGAATTGTCCACTTAA